CCCCTCTTTTCTCCGTTTCCGAGCTGCCGGCCCTGCTTGCATGACCGTCAACCGATTGAGGACCCCTTCCGCTGTTGTCTTGTCTGAGGCGACCCGCTTTCCCTTCCGAGCTCCCAGAGCTCTCCGAAGGCCCTATTCCTGGCCTGGCACAGGACGAAAAGGCTCCACCTAATGACATGACGCAAGCACAGATAGTATATAATAGGCAGGTAGGGGGCCACCAGTCCCGAAATGTCGGGGAGACACCTTGACTGGAGTTGCCCTACTCGGGGTGCATGCCGCCACATTGCCGTCACGGTCACAGACCGACGGGCCTTTTACCAGCACAAGTGGGCTCTACCCGCCTGTCGCCTTCGATTCCCTTGAAAGCTCACTGGTTGCCGAAATTGCTTGCCCGGGCTGCCGCATCAAACCCTATAGAGGGCTTATGTATCCATCGCTGCACACCGTGACTTCCTGAAACACGGCTACGCTTCGCCAACGTCGGAGCTTCGCTTCGTGTCGACGCCCACTGACGTTCATCAATGTGCCTCGCTGGACCGATCACTGACGACCTGTTTGCGTTCTCGATCCACCCCTGCCGCTCCCCTGTTGCACAGGCCGCCGTGCCGTCTGCCTGCGCGCGATTGCTGCCTACATCTGCCCACGCTGCCCAGGGCATAGAGGGATCGCTGGCCAAGACTTACAGCGCCAGGTTGTATAAGGTTGTAGTTGGATTCGTCAGAAATACCCGCGGATGGAACCGCATCCTCTGCCGAGGGACAAGCGGCTTTGCATAGCCAACATATGTCAAACGTCGCGGTAGAGCAGACCGATGCTTTGGGGCTTTTTTTCTGTGCATTCCTCCTTCCACTCCTCCTTCCTTGCCTCCTTCTGCCAACGCTGCAGCGTCGTCGCTGTGCTGCTGCAGCTTTGGTCCAGCCTCATAAGCAAACCCTGTCGTGGGTTTCCTAGCGTTGCTTTTTGGAGATGCCAAAAAAACTGCACACCGACGCCGGCCTTCGATTTCGGCACCGCAAGACAGAGCCGGATCCTTTGAACGATGTGCTTCGGGTCGTGGACCTGATTATCACGCCGCTGCTTCTCCTACCCCCCGCCTTGGGCCTGAGATTGCTGGAGAATTCGCTGCTGACTTTGACAGGGCAAGCATGCCCCGCCTAAAACTGAAGCAGCTACGGCCGAACGCCGAGGGCCCTGAGAGCCCTTGAAGTTGGGCGAACGACCTCGCTGTGACAGCGCAAAGGTTGAACGGGTCTTCCAGGTAAACGTCGTTGAGACCTTTACGGGAGTTCCTCTTTGCGGACCGTGGGGGGAACCGACTTGTCGCCGGCCCGCAATGTCTCGCGTACAGTGGCTACTCAGCAGAGATTTCCCTGATGCACGTCGGCGAACCAAGGTTGCTAGCTGCCAAGCAGATGCACTGCAAAAGCACTTCAGATTGCTGCAACCGTGCATGTCAGGAAAGCAGAGAATTGGTTTTCTGCGAAACGAAACAGCCCCGCTTTCTTGGTGAATTCGTCGTGTCCACCTTTTCTGTAGGAAACTGCATCCAGCTTCCCTTCCAGTCGATTCCCATATATAGCTTCGTTGGCACGGCATGGCCAGGAAAAGACCGCCATGCCCCCTGCACAATATGTAATAAAACTGAAAAGGAGTATGCAGGTCGCGACTGTGACATGGAATGCAAAAACTGAAAGTGGGAAGTGACTCCCTCAAGTTCATGCGCGAAATCAATACACACACACAGGCAACAAGGTACCGACCATCCCACCTAAGCTTGCCCAATCTTTGCATCTCCTGCACGGGCACGGCAAAGACCGACGACCAAGCCCATGCATGTCGCCGTACAGCGATGCCCAGTCTGAGCGCCTCTGGAAAAAAGGCCGTCACGTTGCTTTTAGAGCCACTGGCATCGTCTGCCTGTCTTGGCCAGAGCGACAGGCTGTGGGCTCAGCAAAGGGTGCTGCGCCGTAAAACGCTCAACGAACAGAAGACATCTGCAGAAGTGAGGCACGGCGCGGGAACCGCCTGCACACACTGGGCAAGCACTTCCGCCAACGCCTTGGTCAAGGCAAATTATGGCAGGGACCGCTTACGAGGCGTTGGCCGCTGAGGCAGAGACCTCTGTGTCCACACTCGAGCCTGGCATATGGTCGTGTAACCATTCCCTTAGCGGCTCCACGCGCGTCCACGCAAAGAACTTTAGGGTAATCGGATGCACTCATGCGAAAGTGCAAATGGCTTCTGGGAAGGCGGCACATTTGCAGAGCTCGTAGCTGCCTAAGCCAAACAAAGGAGGAATATTCTCTCCTCTGCTATAAAGCCCTGACTCGATCAGATACATGGCAGACATAGCCGTATGGTGGTACGCTTGGCACGTGACTTCATGGATGTCTGAAGAACATATCCACCAAGCTCCCTGGAAACACATTGACACTGTCAGAACCCCTTCCTCACCGAGCTTTACTGTTGCATCATCCTGCATGCAACGCTCACAACATGCCTGGCCAAGATCGGCAACTCGTGGCCCCGACCTGTGCGAATCGGAACGAATCTAGACTTACACATGGTCACGTAGTGTGCTCCATTTGTGCCCAGAAGCATGTCACCAGAGGAGAGGGACGGATGAGAAGCAGATGCACAACTAGTACTCGTTTGCGACCTGAGCTTTGTCATACTTTGTCCATGCAGAACTGTAACGGTCTCGACCAGGAACAGTCGAGCCACGAAGGGTCTCCTTCCTCGTCAGAGGGCGGCTGATCTCCCACTGACGGCTTAACCATCGATGTGATGAAAGATCCACCTCGGCTGTTGGATGCTCTGGGCATCTCTTGGCCTCGCCTTGGCCTCGCCTCACCGCCTCTCTTCTGCCAAGGTGCCAGACAAATTCTTCTTCAGGGATGCTAACAGCGGCATGCCCGGCGCTGCTAGGCTCTTAGGCCCTAGGCCCTAGGCCACGTAGAGGCAAGGATAAGAATGAAGCAACACTCAGGAAAGTGTCTAGCATTCCTTCTTCAGGGTCTTCGTGGTCTCCGTCTGATATAAACCTGAACAGCAGCCTTTGCCTCTGGAAGATCGCGGCCAAAAAAGAGCCTTACACGGAGGTTGCTTCTGGGCCTTGGAGCCTCCAGCTCCAGGACCCAGACCTCCTCAAGTTCTGAGATCTGCAGCTGCAAGAGACAACAAGGATAAGCAATAAAAGCCTGCAAAACCCTTCGAGTCTAGTTCGACATACAGGGAATGCCAGGATAGACTTGCGGAAGTTGAAAGCCCAAAGCTTCTGCCAATTTTTCGCGCTGAGTGGAAAGCCCAAGGCGCTCTCATCTGCAAAGTGCCTGAGTATTCTCCCTTCACAAGACTGACTGGATACTTGTTGCTGCTGTCGCTTGGTGCAGGCCTCTTTGTGCATTCTTTGGCACCGGAGGCTGCAGAAACTCCCCTTGCATCGCAGGCACTTGTACCTGACACCAGGACGAAAGCGAACCAGGAGAGTTGCTTCGAATATCATCCAATGCTACACCGGTATTTGCAATCGACAAGTCTTTTGCGCTCTACGTGGCTTTCGAACATGCCTGCCCAATCGAAGGCAGCAAGCACAAAGAGGACGCTTCGGAAGAGAGGAGGCGCCGACCTCGAAAATGGACAGTTGAAACAATTCAAAGTGCATAAATCATGAATATCGCCGGTGTACCCGCAGAAGATCGCAAATGCAGAGGCTTTTTCCCCAGCATATGCGTTGCGCTGTTGCGCACCCATGTTGAGGTGAGCAGGGCAGATCACTTCGGGGTCAACTGGATTGCGCATCTCGATGACCTCCCGATGCCTGCAAAGTCAGCCGCGCACACAGACTTCAATGGAATGGCCAAGTCACCACGAAACTTCTTGAATGGTGACAAAGTAACCTTGCTAAAGCTCGGCCGCTCGACTTCTTTGGTGCCTCGGCTACTTTTTCTCACCTTCATTGGCTTCGTCCTGCAAGCGGCGGTGCAATTGGATGTGTAGAATGGCTCCAGCTGCCGAAGTAGACAGCGACAGCAAGTCGACAGCAAGCTTGGCGTGAACACGTCCTTCTTCATGCGCTGCCGGATAAGCTGCACAACCTCTTGGAAAGACTTTGCTGAATTATAGCTACAGCTGGCACCAGCACACCTTCGCCTTCAAAAGCTCCATCTACTGTGTAATGTAAGGAAAGGCTCTGGTAATGAAGGATCGGCAGCCACGTTCCGTTCAATGAGTCTCTAGACTCTGGACGGTAGGAAAAAGCTCCACTCTCATCCGAGTAGCTGCGCGGTCCGTCCTTGCTGCAAGCGTTTGCATCTTGCGCTCGACGTCCCGCTTCAAGTCCTGCGGCTGAAACCCGAATCCTCCAATCCTCCCCAAGCCCCAACAAACGGCCATCCGGGCCCCATACCCAGTTGGGCTTTCGCGGTGCAATGGCCAGCACTGCTTCTGCATCCTGCATTAGTACAAGCGGCGGAGAGTTGCTTTTAAAGCTTTGGGCAGAGTCTTGTTCAAAAGGTTTGGCCGATGGCTCGTTTGGCACTATTAGGGCAGGGAATTGCGATGTCTGAAGCTTTGTTTGGAATCAGGCCAAAGGGGAATCGGGTTTTACAGTAACTTACTTTGCATCAAGCTATTGCGGAGTTGCATTCGCAAGGCTTCTTTTCACGTCAAGCTATTGAATAACTCTGATTCGCAAGGCGCTGCTTGGAAGCAAGCTATTGGCGATTTGCGATTTCCGACGTCCGTTTTGGCCTCAACCTAGAGGGGACTTGGACTGTGACTGGGGAGTTGCAATTTGAAAGGACTCGTTTTGAGTCAAGCTATTGGTGATTTGCGATTTCCCATTTCCGGTTCTTGTTTGGCATCAGGCTATCGAGGAATTCGACGTTAAATGGCTTGATTTTGCGTGAAACAAGGGGGATTCCAGTCAATTTGCAAAACTTCGTCTTGCGTCGAGCTATCATTGTGGTTCGTCAGCTGTTGTTCGCACAGGGCTTGACCTTCCCCCCAGGATTGCCCACCAATGAAGCACGAAACCTCGGCAGAAAGCTGCGAGCCAGAAGCAGTATCAGCAGCGGCGGCAGCAGCAGCAATAGTAGCAGTAGTAGTCGTAGTAG